TAATCAATGTCACTGAATTGTACACGTAGAAATTGTTGAGCTGGTGTGTGTTCTGCTGTGTATATTCTTAACAATAACAAAAATAAATAAATTATTTTAAAAAATGGAAAATAGCAAGTGTTGAAGGAGAGGTGAAGAAATTGGAACCTTCATCCATTGCTAGCAGGAATGCAAAATGTTCAGCAGTTGTGGAAAACAGTCTGGCAGTTCCTCAAAAAACTAGAGGTAGAGCTGCCATATGATCCAACAATTCCACTCCTAGGTATTATACCCTAAGGATCCAATAGAAGTGACACAAACAGACATATGCATACCTATGTTCACTGCAGCACTATTCACAATAGCAAAAAGATGGAAATAACCTAAGTGCCCATCAACAGATAAATGGATAAGTAAAATGTTGTACATACATACAATGGAATACTACTTGGCAATAAAGAAAAATGAGTTCTTGAAACATCTTACAACATGGATGAACCTGGAGGACATTATGTTGAGTGAAATAAGTCAACCACAAAAAAGTAAACATTGTATATTTTCACATTTATCAAAAGATCCTTGGTGGCATAATGGGTTAGCATTCGGCTGCCAACTGAAAAGTCAGAGGTTTGAACTCACCATCCCCTCCACAGGAAAAAAGACTTAGTGGTCTGCTCCAGTAAAGATTTACAGCCTAGGAAACCCTATGGGGTAGTTCTACTATGTTCTATAGGGTTGCTATGAGTCAGAATTGACTCAACAGCACACAACCACACCAGTTTTATGAAATGACATGAATAGGTAAATATGAAGAAACTAAAGTTCATTTCTTACTGATCAAGATCAAAGACTAAAGCCTTAAATATGAATTACACCTCAACATAAAGAAAACAAAAATCTTCACAACTGGACCAATAAGCAACATCACGATAAACAGAGAAAAGATTGAAGTTGTCAAAGATTTCATTTTACTTGGATCCACAATCAACATCCATGAAAGCAGCAGTCAGGAAATCAAACGACATATTGTATTGGGCAAATCTGCTGCAAAAGACCTCTTTAAAGTTTTAAAAAGCAAAGATGTCGCTTTGAGGACTAAAGTGCACCTGACCCAAGCCATGGTGTTTTCAGTCACCTCATATGCATGTGAAAGCTGGACAATAAATAAGGAAAACCAAAGAAGAATTGATGCCTTTGAATTATGGTGTTGGCAAAGAGTATTGAATATACCATGTACTGCCAGAAGACCAAACAAATCTATCTTGGAAGACGTACAGCCAGAATGCTCCTTAGGAATGAGGATGGCGAGACTTCATCTCACATACTTTGGACGTGTTATCAGGAGGGACCAGTCCCTGGAGAGGGACATCATACTTGGTAAAGTAGAGGGTCAGCAAAAAAGAGGAAGAACCTCAACAAGATGGATTGACACAGTGGCTGCAACAATTGTGAAGATGATGCAGCACTGGGCAGTGTTTCTTTCTGTTATACATAGGATCGCTATGATTGCAACTGACTCAATGGCATCTAACAACAGCAAAGTTCATTAGTAGTTACCAAGGGTAGGGTGGCGGGAGAAGTACTTTCTAGGTAGGTAATCACTTTTTGTTTGTTTGTAGAAGTGGCCCTGAATGTGGGTGAAGTTTCCACAGCATTACTGATGTAACTGATGTCAATAAACCGTACATAGGGAAAAGGGATGAATGGGCAAATGCTCGGTTGTGTAAGATGCTGATTTTAATTAGATATAACCAGTCACCTCGTGGAATTAGTTCTCTTGCGTTCGGGGCTTAGGGCCATGGTCTTGTGGGACAATCCAGTCATTTGGCATAACATAGTTCTTAAAGTTTATGTTCTACTTCCCAGAATTGTGAGTAGTATCTAGGGTCTTAAAAGCTTAGGAGCAGACATCTAAGATACAACTATTGATCATTATTCATCTGGAACAAACAAGAAAGAAGGAAACCTAAGAATCAGAGAAGGAACTGGACTACAGGTGGGCTCTTTCAGTCAGAGAATTGTTGTATCTATTTTTTTTCCTCAGTTTTTGGATATATCTTGTAGTATATTTTCTTTCCTCAGTTCTCTTTTATTATGTCCCTTTGTAACTCCCTCTTCCATGCCTATTAACTTGTTCTTTATGCTTTTCAGCTGCTTATCCTTTTGCAGTACATACTAGAAAAATTCCTCTGCTCAATCTTCCAACTTGTTCACTAACTCTTGAGCTATGTCTATGTCACCTATTTATTTTTTTATTTCAGCAATCAATTTTTAATTTCCAATAACTGTAGTTAAAATTTTATGGATATATACAGTATATTTTCATGATTTTTGAATGTTATTTATAGTTACTCTAAAGTCATGTTCTGGTTGCTCTCTTTCTGGAATATCTCTTTCCTCAGATGTAAATTCTTCCATTTAATGATCATTCTTCCATCTAATGATTCAAACTGTTGGCTTTCACCAAATATCTGGTGACACTTTAATGAGTGCTCTTTTTTTTTGAGACTTCTTATTAACTTTTGATTGCTGTATCTATTTACTATTGCCTCTTTGTGGGGAACAGGCCGGTCGTGCCACCAAGCAAATACCTTAGGTTAGGCTGAGATTAGGATTGTTCATCAAGTGATTTGTTGCAGGAGCTCTCAGGAGAAACTTCTGAGTGAAGGAAGCAGGATAGAACTGGGGGAGAAGCCAGTGATTCCCAAACTTTGCTGTGCATTAAAATCTCCCGGGAGCTTTTAAAAATTCAGGAAGCGATCACACTTTATACTATTAGATCAGAATGTCTTCAAATGGAAGCCAGGCATCAGTATTTTTTAACCCTTTCATTATTAAATTTTTATTTTTAAAAAAAAAATTTGATGCTATGTGTTTTCACTAATTATGGCATGCTGATTCAAAGAGCAATTTGGAATTTTTTTATATTAGTTACGGATTTTGAGATATATGATCTGGTAATACAAGTCACGAATAAGACAAGTAGCACTGTGCTGTCACTGATCTGTGGTATGACAATAATGACAATATACCAATATGAACTGAATAGTTTATTGTGAGACCCTTTCCATTAGGTTACATGGGGAACCTCCAGTTTTCCAGAAAAAAAAAAACAAACCCATCAGGGCTCCCTAACTATCACATAGGAAAGCTATAATCGTGCTTGCAAGCCTTGTCTCAGAAATAAAGGCAAAAGGTTATAAAATTAATACATTCAGGAAGCATCACCTAATATAATGCTCAACCTACACAAAAATGAGGCTCCAACTCCAGTCTGCTGAGCTTTGCACATTTCAAAAGGGACCCATCTTGAGGCTAAATACATTAGAACCAGAACAACGTACTACCTGTGAGGTCCAGAGGCATAAAAAGTGACTGGTATACAGTTACACCAATAGTAACGAAAGAGTTAAAGGTTCCCAAGTATGGTAGGTGACCTCTAAGATCACTCCCAATGATCCCTGCTTTCTGATATTTCCACCTTTGTGTAATTCCTTCCTTGTAAGTTTGGGCTGAACTTATTGTCTTGCTTCTAATAAGCAGAATGCAGCAGAAGTGATGAGATGTCACTTCCAAGATTAGGTTATAAAAGACTGGCTTTGGTCTTGCACGCTATTTCTAGCATTCTCTTTGATCACTTGCCCGGGGGAAACCAGCTGCCATGTTGTGAGGCAGCCCTGTGGAGAAGCCCCCATGATGAGGTACTGAAGTTAGCCAACAGCTATGTGAGTAAGCTTGGAAGCAGATTTTCCTGCACCCACCTCATGAGAAACCTTGAGCCAAAGGCGTACAACTAAGCAACACTCAGATTCCTAACCCACAAAAGTTGTGAGATAATGTTTGTTGTTGTAAGCTGCTGATTTTGGAGATGATTTTTTAAGGAGCAATAGGGAAATGATACACCAGGTGATTTCAATGTTTAGCAAAGTTTAGGAACCACTGAACTAGGCAAATAACGTGGTTTCAGAGAAATCTAGCCTCTTCTTGAGTCCACAGGGAAATCTGGAGCATAAACCAGAGAGTTGTACAGCCAGAGGCAAAGGGGCTTAATTGTTAGACACTCACATCAGTCAGTTATTGGCAGGACCTGTGGAGGTAGGGGAGTAGAAAAGAGGGCAAAACCTCCCTAGCATTCCAAGATAGGCTCTTGTCAGCCAGGGCAAGTCTCCCGAGAAAGGTGCAGGTGTGGATGAGTAACAGCCAACAAGCAGCAGCTGGTGGATGTGTGTGCTGGCTGGTGAATGGGTTTTGGTGGGGCACCCACAACATCTCTACACAGGGTATACTTCAGCGTCTATAAAGTCAATGTGGAAGAGCTGAGGCAAGGTTCTGAACAAGAACATGAGTGCCATCAACTGCCCCAGGAATTTTCTAATTTGCGTTTGTAACTTACAGGTGCTCACATTCATTATACCTTGTTGAGGGCAGACATCTCTGCTCCTTACTGCCTTGCTCAAGACGTGGAAATACTGTGGAGGGTAGATTTATCTGGCTATTCTTACAGTGGTACTCTAAATAATCACCCTATTGGTTTCCCCGGAATCCCTTCCTGCTCCCAGTATTTGCCATTTCTGGAGTTGGAGCACCCTTAGAAGTCACCATATCCTTTGTAGTAATCTTTACAAACATTTTGGGCTATGGTTTCCTTTTAAAATCTTAAACTGCCTCTTATCTTCCTGGAATACATGAAGTTTCTTGTCCATTGACAGTTCTACTTTTGTGTTTCAGTTAAGTTATGGGTTTTCCTATTACTTTTATATCTTCCTTTCAAAGGATTTAGGGATTAAAAGAGAGGCCACAGTTTGTGCTCAGCCCAACTTCTTGAGCCAAATCTCTGTAAGATTTCAACTAGCACTAAAGAATGCATGAAAAATTATACCACTCAGTTAAATGACATTCACTCAAAAGCAGAAATTTTGTATTGAAATGTTGTAAATGTTAATACATTTGTTGTTAAGTTTACTATAAAACACTATTTGGTTAAAAAGATTTTAAGTTGGTTTTGAAAGACTTTCTTTCAGTTTTGTAGTAGGTGCTGTCTCTCCTGCTATTGTTGTCCCTTCCATGCTGCTTTTGCAAGAAGATGGATATGGTATTGAGAAAGGCATTCCAACCTTACTAATAGCTGCTAGCAGTTTGGATGACATTCTGGCTATCACTGGATTTAATGCATGCATGGGCATAGTCTTCTCCTCAGGTAAACAAGACAATGCAGTACCCACTGTATCATTCATGGCCTTTTCTGTTAGTTCTTTGAACAAGGTTTCTGGTTTTACTTTTTAATTTATTAATCAAGACTTTTCAATTTAACATCATTTTATTCTTCATAGAAATCTCATTCTAGACCAGGAAGAAATTTCATTAGTTTAAGAAAGCACTACTTCCCAAACGGTCAACGTTTACACAAAAGCAAAGATAAGAAGGCAAGGAGGATCAGGGAAACCGGATGGGTGGAAATGGGGCAGGCAGGGTGGAAATGGTGAAAGTACTGACACATTGTGGGGACTATAACCAATGTCATGGAACAGTTTGTTTATTAATTGCTGAATGGAAATCTAATTTGCTGCGTAAACTTTCACAAAAAACACACTAAAATGTATATTTTTAAAAACCGGCATACTTTACCTAATGCTGGAGGATTTGAAACCAAGGAAGCTAAAATTTAAAAAAAAAAAAAAAAGCTTGTCAAAATGATTGTCATAAATTGCCAAATATTTTCAAAGTTGAAGATGAAGAATTTTTGAAATTTTCCTAAACCATGAACCCTAGGTACAAAGTTTTACTAGAATATATGATAACTGAAAATATCTTTCCTGAATTATATTCTGCTGTAAGTTTAGTAATATTATTAATTGTACCAGGTAAAAATGAATGAATGTTGAATATTCCAAATATATAATATAAAGACCATAGAAACAATGTAACAGCTCAGAATGCTGAGGAATTACTTTTCATGTACTATAATGCTAAACCTTAAAAATTTTACTCTTAAACTTTTACCTAGTAAAAGTGTAATAAACATTCATAAAGAAAAGGAAAAAATGAAAGGACTACTTGATAGACATGATTCATTTTAATAACCACGTTTCCATTAATAATATTACCCAGATTATCACTATCTATATTCTCATGTTGCCTTGGAATTTTATCACTGTTTTCACTAGAAAATTTTAAGCAGCAATATCATTAATACTACTATTCCTAAGAGCTATTTTTGAAATATTCCTTTTTGGCCATCCTTGTAAATAATGACTTATTCATTGTAAATATCTTTTTTTAACAACATAAATGACGACTGTACACGTGGACCTCACCAGATGGAATGCACAGGAATCAGATTGACTACATCTGGGGAAGAGATGATGGAAAACCTCAATATCATCAGTCAGATCAAGGTCAGGGGCTGACTGTGGAACGGACCATCAATTGCTCGTATGCAAGTTCAAACTGAAGCTGAAAAATATTAAAACAAGTCCACGAGAGCCAAAGTACAACCTTGAGAATATCCTACCTGAATTTATAGACCATCTCAAGAATAGACTTGACGCATTGAACACTAATGACCGAAGACCAGCTGAATTGTGGGATGACATCAAGGACATCATACATGAGGAAAGCAGAAGGTCATTAAAAAGACAGGAAAGAAAGAAAAGACCAAAACAAATATCAGAAGAGACCTTGAAACTTGCTCTTGAATGTACGGTAAAGGAACAAATGGTGAAGTAAAAGAGCTGAAGAAGAAATTTCAAAGGGCGGCTCAAGAAGACAAAGTAAAGTATTATAATGAAATGTGCAAAGACTTGAAGTTAGAAAACCAAAAGGGAAGAACACGCTTGGCATTTCTCAAACTGAAAGAACTGAAGAAAAAATGCAAGCCCTGAGTTGAAATATTGAAGGAGTCTATAAGGAAGATATTGGACTACTCAGGAAGCATCAAAAGAAGATAGAAGGAATACACAGAGTCACTGTACCAAAAAAAAAAAAAAAAGGTTGACATTCAGCCATCTCAGGAGGTAGCATATGATTAAAAACTGATGATATTGAAGGAAGAAGTTCAAGCTGCACTGAAGGCATTAGTAAAAAACAGAGCTTCAGGAATTGAGAGAACACCAATTGAGATGTTTTAGCAAATGGATGTAATGCTGAAAGCTCTCACTCATCTATGCCAAGAAATTTGGAAGACAACTACCTGGCCAGCCAGCTGGAAGAGACCCAAATATATATATATATATATATATGTGTGTGTGTGTGTGTGTGTGTGTGTGTGTGATTTAGGTGAAAGTTTACATAGCAAATTAGTTTCTCATTAAACACTTAATACACATATTGTTTTGTGACATTGGTTGCCAACCCCGAGGTGTGTCAACACTCTCCGCTTCTCCACCCCAGTTTCCCTGTTTCTATTTGTACAGTTTTCTGGTCCCTTTCTGCCTTCTTGTCTTTGCTTTGGGCTGATGTGCCCATTAGTCTCGTACACATGATTGAACTATGAAGCACGTCCCTCATGTGTATTATTACTGACCCTATAAATTAGACCTGTCTAATCTTTGGCTGAAGGGTGAACCTCAGGAGTGACTAGAGTACTGAGTTAAAAGGGTGTCCAGGGGCCGTATTCTCGGGGTTTCTCCAGTCTCTGTCAGACCAGCAAGCCTGGTCTTTTTGTGTGTGTGTGAATTTGAATTTTGTTCTACGGTTTTATCCCACTCTGTCTAGGACCTCTATTGTGATCCCTGCCAGAGCAGTGGTGGTGGTAACTGGGCACTGTCTAGTTGTTCTGGGCTCAGTTTGGTGGAGGTTGTGGTCATTGTGGTGCATTAGTCATTTGGACTAATCTTTCCCTTGTGCCTTTGGTCTTCATTCTCCTGTGCTTCTGCCAGGATGGGACCAGTAGATGTATCTTAGATGGCCATTCGCAGGCTTTTAAGACCCCAGTCACCACTTAGCATAGTCGAATGTAGAACATTTTCTTTATAGACTATGTTATGCCAATTGAGCTAGATGTCCCCTGTGGAAGAGCTAGATGTCCCCGGTGGAAAAGATCCAATTTGTGCCCATTCCAAAGAAAGTTGATCTAACAGAATGCAGAAATTATCAAACAATATCATTAATATCTCACGCAAGTAAAATTTTGTTAAAGATAATTCAGAAATGGTTGCAGTAGTACATCCACAGGGAACTGCCAGAAATTTAAGCCGGATTCAGAAGAGGATGTGGAACAAGGGACATCATTGCTGATATCAGATGGATCTTGGCTGAAAGCAGAGGATACCAGCAAGATGTTTACCTGTGTTTTATTGACTATGCAAAGGCATTTGACTGTGTGAGTCACAACAAATTATGGATAATATTGCAAAGAATGGGAACTCCAGAACACTTAATTGTGCTCATGAAGAACCTGTACATAGACCAAGAGGCAGTCATTCAAACAGGACAAGGGGATACTGAGTGGTTTAAAATCAGGAAAGGTGTGCGTCAGGATTGTGTTCTTTCACCATACTTATTCCGTCTGTATGCTGAGCAAATAATCCAAGAGGCCAGACTATAAGAAGAAGAACACAACATCAGGATTGGAGAAAGACTCATTAACAACCTGCGATATGCAGATGACACAATCTTGCTTGCTGAAAGTGAAGGGGACTTGAAGCACTTACTGATGAAGATCAAAGACCACAGCCTTCAGTACGGATTACACCTCAACATAAAGAAAACAGAAATCCTCACAACCTGACCAGTAATCAACATCATGATAAATGGAGAAAATATTGAAGTTGTCAAGGATTTCATTTTACTTGAATCCACAGTCAACACCCATGAAAGCAGCAGTCAAGAAATCAAATGATGTATTGCACTGGGCAAATCTGCTGCAAAAGACCTCTTTAAAGTGTTAAAAAGCAAAGATGTCACACTTTGAGGAGTAAGGTGTGCCTTACCCAAGCCATGCATGGTATTTTCAATGGCCTCATATGCATGCAAAAGCTGGACAATGACTAAGGAAGACTAAAGAAGAATTGACACCTTTGAATTTTGATGTTGGTGAAGAATATTTTGAATATACTATAGACTGCCAGAAGAACAAACAGATCTGTCTTGGAAGAAATACAGCCAGAATGTGCCTTGGAAGCAAGGTTGGTGAGACCTTGTCTCATGTACTTTGGACATGTTATCAGGAGGGACCAGTCCCTGGAGTACATCATGCTTGGTAAAGTAGAAGGTCAGCGAAAAAGAGAAAGACCATCAAAGAGATGGATTGACACAGTGGCTACAGAAATGGTCTCAAACACAGCAACGACTGTGTCAATGGCCCAGGACAGGGCAGTATTTCGTTCTGATGTACATAGTGTCACTTTAAACGGGAACTGACTCAACGGCACCTACCCACAACAACATAAGTAACTGGTTACTCTGTTGTTAAGGCAACTTAAATATATATATACAGAGCCTGAAGAACTGTGTGCCTTTTTGGTAGTGGTAGACAATATCCTACAGGAGTTCTGACCCCCAAGATGATATCTGGTCTTGAATGTCACTCTACATGTATTGTGAAAGTAAGCATTTTCACATTAAAACCCCACTGCCATCGAGTCAATTCTGACTCATCACAACCCCATAGGATAGAGTGGAAATGCCCCATAAGGTTTCCAAGGGTGTAAATCTTTATGGAAGCAGACTACCACGTCTTTTCTCCAGTGGAGCGGCTGGTGGGTTCGAACTGCCAGCCTATCAGTTAGCAGCCAACTGCTTTAACCACTGCACCACCAGGGCGCCTTCTATTTCCACATTAGTAATGCTTTAATTATCTGCAATGAAAGAAATTCAGTCTTCTGTATTACTGAAGCATCAAATATTTTTTAATATATATGGTATATATAGTTTCTTTTAAAATCAGAAAATATAAATACACAAAAAGGAAAATATGTGATCAGGGCTACAATAGATGGATCCTGGTAGAAGGGGAGAAAAATGTGGAACAGAGCTCAAATTCTTAAAAAGCCCAGACTTCCCAGACCAGTTGAGACTAGAAGACTCCCCGAGACTATCACCCTGAGATACTCTATAAACCTTGAATCTAAGCTAGCCCTGAGGGCACCTTTTAGCTAAATAACAGATTGGCTCATAAAATAAAGAATATTTCCAATGAGTACTGCACACTTTAAAATAAATCATTTATATGAGACCAAATGGTCAACAATTACTCTAAAGCAAAAATGAAAGGGTAAGGGAACAGGGAAACCAGATTTCTGGAAGCAAAACATCCAGAAGGGAATTAATGAAAATGTTAAAACATTGTGAAAACTGTAACCAATGTCTCCGAACAATATGTATAGTAATTAGGAAATGGGAACTTAACCTACTGTGTAAACTTTCACCAAAAATACAATAGAATATTATTTTAAAAAAGGAAAATATAAGACTGAAATCTGCAATAGTCATACCTCCAACAATAATAATTCTAAACTTTTGATATAAATCCACCCATTTGTTCTCTCTCTCTAATATCCTTATATTTATTATTGAACATTGACTATACTTTCTTGTAACCTGAGGTTTTTTGTGCTTAACCATATATCATAAACATACTTCTCTACAGTAAATATATTTCGATGACATCATTTTTTTCTAATGGTTGCACAGTATTGTTTGACTTCATTATAATTATTTAAACTGTTGAATTGAAGATGACTTCTATTTTTACTATTAAAATAATTCAGTAAAGAAACCAGTAGCCCATGTTCCCAAGGAGCTTATATTAAGTAAGTAATTTCCATTGTGATGAATATTACAAAATTTAAGTACAGGATGCAGTGAGAACATGTTACAGGAGACTGAACCTAATTTGGGGAGAACCAAAGAAAGTGAAAAACCAAGAAGATACATGCTTAGAAAATCCTTTCCCATTACATGACTAGATAAAATGGCACTTAAAATTTTAAGGACTTTTAAAGTTTTGTTTTATACGTTAGTTATTTAATACATCTATACTTTGGACTATGGTAGGTATAGAGATCTAACTTTATTTTCAGCCAACTAGTTAGCCAGCTGTTTCCACTCTGTTGTGGAATATTACATCTTTCTTTCTCCACGTATTGAAAGATTATCTATATCATATTCAAATTCTTGTAAATACTGTGTTAATTTGTTTCTATTATTTTAAATGGAAAAATCTTTCTAAAATATATATTTACATACCTTATTAACTAAATACAGAGAACATAGCTGACTTTCTTTTGTGACTCAGGGTCACATGTTGTTGTTTGACTCACAGCAACCTCATATGACAGAGTAAAATTGCCCTATAGGGTCTTTTAGGCAGTAATCTTTATGGGAGCAGATCACCAGGTCTTTCTCCCACGGAGCTACTGGGTAGATTCAAACCGCCAACCTTTCAGTTAGAGCCGAGTGCTTAACTTTTGCACCACCAGGGCCCCTAGTTACTTATTATAATGAACTACAAGTGTAGATAAATAAAATATGTTGGAACCTCAGTTGACTGACCCTTCGATATAGGTAGGATTGACCCTAGAATAAATCTTTTTGTTGTTGTTAAATTGTTCTTTTTGTTTTTAAATCATTTGTTTTTGTTAGGGCATCAGGGAAGACACTTTTATAGAACTCTTACCAGTCATGTCCTGTGGGCGAAAGGGGCTCCCTTCTCAGTCTCTATCCATTCTTCTACCTACCTGGTATTTTAGATTGGCTATATAAGGGGACCACATTGCTGGCTTATATTTCTGTTTTCTGGCATATTTATACAATGGGTATTTCTGAGTTATCTGTATATACTTATTAAATTGAGAGTATATATGTGATTTATCAAATAGATGCACATATACTTTCACATGTATAATTATGAAAGGTCCATTTTCATATATTTGTACTATAAAATGCTTATCTTGTTTCATAAAACACCTGGACCTGATTTTCGGATGTGTAGGGTTTGTGAAAATAGTTCTCTGTAAAATCTTTTCCTTATTTTGTGCCCTTACAGGTAATATACTTCATATTCTCCTCGTTTCTTTGTTGGAGGTATCTATTGGTGTGGTGCTAGGAGCTGTTTTGGGATATTTTCTTCGATATTTTCCAAGTAGAGACCAGGTAAATAGAAAATTAATCTGTTTTGTAGAAGTGTAATACCTTTGGGAAGTTTCATGGAATATAGCATTTAATATTAAAAACTCTGTTCCCAAAAGTATCCTCTACTCTCTGCTTAAAACTGATGCTTAAAGTTGCAGTTGATCCAAGTTATTGACCTTGGTTGAAATCTCTGCTTCCTGATTTGACAAATAAATAGTATCAGAAAAATGTACATAGAATACTCCTTTCCCCTCCATCCCATTCCTTCCTCCACCAGGTTGCTATAGGCTCCCAACAATTATTCCTAATCTTTTCCCCCCCAAAACTTTTCCTCAAACATTTTTGGGGAAAATAGTTCCCATTTATCACTATATTTTCTTAGGTCTCCCCAACAAGGGGATACTGTGTGGTTTAAAATCAGGAAAAGTGTGCATCAGGGTTTTATCCTTTCACCGTACTTAGTCTGTATGCTGAGCAAATAACTCAAGAAGCTGGACTATATGAGGAAGAATGTGGCATCAGGATCGGAGGAAGACTCATTAACAACCTGTGATATGCAGACGACACAACCTTACATGCTGAAAGTGAAAAGGATTTGAAGCACTTACTAATGAAGATCAAAGACCACAGCCTTCAGTATGGATTATACCTCAACATAAAGAAAATCAAAAATCCTCACAACTGAACCAATAAGCAACATCATGATAAATGGAGAAAAGATTGAAGTTGTCAAGAATTTCATTTTACTTGGATCTACGATCCACACCCATGGAAGCAGCAGTCGAGATATCAAATGGTGTATTGCATTGGGCAAATCTGCTGCAAAAGTGTTGAGGAACAAAGATGTCACTTTGAGGACTAAGGTGCACCTGACCCAAGCCATGGTATTTCAGTCACCTCATATGCATGCAAAAGCTGGACAATGAATAAGAAAGACCAGAGAAGAATTGATGCATTTGAATTACAGTGTTGGCAAAGAATATTGACTATACCATGTACTGCTAGAAGAACAAACAAATCTGTCTGGGAAGAAGTAAAACCAGAATGCTCCTTAGAAGCAAGAACGGCGAGACTTCATCTCACATACTTTGGACATGTTATCAGGAGGGATCAGTCTCTGGAGAAGGACATCATGCTTTGTTAAGTAGAGAGTCAGTGAAAAAGAGGAAGAACCTCGACGAGATGGATTGACACAGTGGCTGCAAAAATGAGCTCAAACAGCAATGATTGTGAGGATGGCGCAGGACTGGGCAGCATTTCGTTCTGTTGTACATCAGGCCGCTATGAGTTGGAACATGCTCAGTGGCACCTAGTAACAGCAACAACCCCATAGGGTTTCCTATGCTGGAATCATTGTGGGAGCATATCGCCAGGTCTCCCTTTATGAATCAAACCACTGAACTTTTGGTTAGCAACCGAGTGTTTAACTATGGCACCACAAGGGCTCCTTTGATCTCCCCTGTAGTTTCCCATGGAAAACCTGGTGATGTAGTGGTTAAGACCTATGGCTGCTAACCAAAACTTCAGCAGTTCAAATCCACCAGGCGCTCCTTGGAAACCCTATGGGGCAGTTCTACTCTGTCCTATAGGGTTGCTATGAGCTGGAATCGACTCGACTGCAATGGGTTTGGCTTTTTTTTTCAATAGTTCCCCATGGAGCCCTGGTGGCGTAGTGGTTAAGAACTCAGGTGCTAACCAAAAGGTCAGGAATTCTTGCTGGGCAGAGGGCTGTGGGGACCATGGTCTCAGGGAACATCTAGCTCAATTGGCATAACACAGTTTATAAAGAAAATGTTCTACATTCTACCTTGGAGAGTAGC